TCTTTAAAATCTTCCGTACAAACACAACATTTCATTAGCTTTGAAGGAGACAGGACTATTCCTAAATATTTAGTAGATCTGTGGAAATAGGAAATAGAAATGTGGAGATGGGAAATCTGAAAAATAAAGTCGGGAAAGGATAGAGAGAAATAAAACTCTTAAAGGGTTAGAATAGCAAGTGGAATTGGGAGTCAAGGAAGAAGGAGCTGGACTTCAGGAGAAAGAGCAGAGACCACCCTTGGAGACCTTTTGAAGGAGCAGGAGAGCAGAAGAGTAGTAAGGGGAAAAAAAAAAAGACAACAAAGATGTCATTCCTTATCAACATCCTCTGCCAAAATGTGGAGTTGGGAAGTTATGTAAAAGGTAAAGTAGGGTCCAAGCTTACGGGTAACAGTTGAAATAACAACCTATCTGCGGAAAAAGCACAGCAGTGCTCCTTCACCCTGCCGTTGGCTTAGCAAAAGGAATTGGAAGAGCAGATATTTTATCAGCTTTCCTCCTCCTTCCAGCTGACGTAGTCGTAGTAAAAACAAAGCAAAAGTAAACCATGCTGGTTATGGACATTTATATGCTTTACATGTTTGTTGTGATTTGTGTACTGACCAGCACTCCCCAGCAGTCTGGTACCGAGACTGTCCCGGGACCTGACGCAGTGACTGCCGGGGTCAGCGGGATCACGAGGTTTTGCTGAGTCCCTGGTGCAGGGAGGCCTGATTCACGTAAGGAGAAAACAAAGCATTAGGGAATCCTTAAAACTTCATGGGACGGGGGGGAGAGCAAAATTGATTTCCTGTATTTACACACAAGGGGTCCTGAATTCTACACTGTGAAATTTCCGTATGGAGTTATTGAAATCTGCATGTTTCTATGCAAACTGCTTGCATGGGTAATTGTAAAACTCCAGTTGCAATTGTAAAATTCCAGTGTGTTTAACTAGAAAAGATACTGCAAATCACTAAGCAGCAAGCTTTTATTTGTGGAAATTGTATAAAATATTACATTTATCCTTAATTTTGTGCATGTGAAACTGTTCTTAGACTTGAAAAATATTTTTCCTGATGAGTTATCACTTTTAATTTGAATTTGAAAATTCACTGGGTTTTTTTGCATTTATAAATGGCTCAGTTTGGATTAAATCCTTGAGATCATCCTGTTACATATTATGTTACATACAAAGAATATTATGTTAAGAGTCTGTATTCTTATTTGTTAATTATTAACAGGAATTTAAACTAAAAGAATGAAGTGGATTAAACTATTTTACAACTAGATTTTCAGATATAACCTAGGCTAGTTGATGCTGCAGGTACATTTTACATAAGACCTAGGCGCTTGTTGTTACAGACATGGTTATGATGGGTGGGAATGAGTTTGCTAAGCTTCAGATATCTTATGTGCCTCTGAGGACTGCCCATTAATAATATTAACATATAGGTATTTTCCACTCTTGTATTCAAGGCATTTCTTAGAACTTTGAAGCTAAAGTCTTTTTTTAACACACAGACCTTTTCAATTTAATCCATTAGCAACTTGGCAAAATAAAGTAATTGTCCAACAGAGGAAGAAAAAAAAAATCTATTAACATTTGCTACAAATCCGAGTAGTACAGGCAGCACTTAATTAATGGAACAGATTTCTCACTATGTATTCAAGCTAACATAGCTATTGTTCAGGAGAGATTAGACCCTTAATGTAAGTAAGTTAAACTAGACCTCCATCTAAAAATATCCGTCATTTCAGCTATTAAAGGTCTGATGTCTTCTTTGGTGACAGATATATTTCACTTCATTTCCTTGGTTTTGTAAAATGTAAAGCATGCATTGTGTGTAACGCGAGAAATCCGCGGAGGTAGATGAAACCCCGATTGTGCCTCCCCGCCTGTCTCTCCCTGCCTGCTCCTTTGTGCTGCTCCCTATCACAGAGCCTCTTCAGCCCTTAGACCTCCTGGCACCAGAGCAGAAAAACAGAAAATGCCATTTGTTAGGGTACGATGCCAGCCACCTAATCTGTTTGCAGAATGAGGGCCATGGGATCTGATTAGGTAATTTAGATACCTTGTGAATTTAATAATACCTGAGCTGCCTCTGGCTGTCAGCCTGTCATTGCACTGCTAGGAACTATCACGTTCTTCCCTTTCTTCTGTAAACTTCTTACCCATGATACTGTATTTGAGTCCAATAGGTGTTAAGGGCTGAAGGTGAGGTATATCTATACTTCTCCATATGAGGATATTAACGATACGATGGAAGATGCAAGGTTGCTCAGTTTCAAATACATCTTCCCCAGTACAATTCTATGTGCAGCTTATCTTTTTTCATTGAAATAAAACTTTTCAACTTGTTTATTTAAACACCTAAGATGGTGTCGGAGGTTTCATATGTGTTGGGCAGTCTGAGTGCTCACTGATGTCACTCACTGGCAGTTTTTGAAGCTCAGTTTATCCAATGTGGTGATTTCATCCTCATGGTTGAGAGTTTCCCCCGCTCACTGCCGCAGCGGAGCATCACTCAGGGGCGAGCAGCCGACCTGCCCGGGGCATCGCCGCCCTGTGGGCAGCAGGCAAGGGCTTGTGCAAGCAGCCTGGGTGCCTCGCTTCAGATTTTGGCTGCAATTTTAACACCACATCTCCTCCCTTCCTCTCTCCTTTCCACCAATTAGCATTTTTTTGGAAATTAGTCTCCTGAAGCCTACTAACATAAATAGAAGTGTTTTAGAATTTGTTTGCTTTAATTATTTTAAGTGTGTCTTTCTGAGAGGATTTAGTTAAACATCTTTCTTAAACAGTAACGTGCCAGTAACAGCAACATTAGTAATAGTGATAAGACCCAGAAAGGAAAACCAGCTAGAAAGCAAAACTAAATGTTTCTTTGTCCAAAAAATAAATGGTCTTCCCAGGAAAGTGGAGGAAACCCTGTTCAGGGACACTTACAATTAGGTTGGTCAAAACAGTGTAAAACATAAATGTGAAATAAATCCTACAAAGGTAGAGAGGAGGATTGCATGAGATCACTCTCTTTTTGCTGTTTTTATTTTGTTTTCCTCTTCCCCCCCCGCCACTGTTGCTATTTTTTTTTTCCCTAGCAGCACCCATTATGTTCTCGGAGCTTTCCAAGTACAAAATAAGTTGCTTTTAATGTAATGATACATTATTTTTCGTAATGAAGATGGAGTGATTGTAAGGCAAATTATATTAATGAGATTTATATGAAAGCATCCAATTAAAAAATCGAAACAGCTGAATTGAACATTACTATACGATGTAATAAAACCATATAATAAGTATATGGTCAGGCCACACCATGCTATCTAGTCTGATTAATTGAACCTTACACCTGCAAAGATAGTAATTATTGGCCTTCTCAGCCATCAAGGAGAAACAGTCTAAATTATTTTCATGATGAAGTAATCATTATCTGCCATCTGAAAAGAGAAAACGGCTGCTGCCTTGACACTGAAATGGAAGATCTTGCAGAACTATGTAAAGCTGATACTACTTGACGCTGGACTTCTGCAGCCTTACTCTAAACTGTAGTTTATGTTGTTATATACAAGATATTTTGCTTGTCTCTGCTTTTTTGCTCTTGTATTTTCTTTAAAAAAACCAAGACCCTCTATCTCCAAAAGTCTCCCCGTGGCAGCGCTGCTTCGGGGCTGTTTCATAACCCCTGGTTATGAAATGGCAAATTGGCAGTTTCCTGGTTTTGCTTCAACACTTCCTCTTTTCCTCCTTGCCCTTTTCTGTGCGGTGGTGATGCTACCTGGAACAATTTGCTACCTGACACAGCAAGATGAGAAGGTGGGCTCTGGTGCCCTGTCCCCCTGCAATCAGCTGTAAGTGCCTCTAGATGTGTCTGTGCTGGAGCAAATCACCTGTGCTTGTAGACCTCCTGTCTCCAGTAAATCATAAGCATCTCAGTCTTTTTGTCAGGCTGCGATATGAGAATCCGCATCTGAATTTCAGTATGAGGGGAGAGAAGCTGATTAAGTGTTTGAGATAAGGTTATGTGACACCACAGGTTAAAAATACCTGAACTGGATTTGGCCAGGTGCCCGAGAACCACATTGCAGCGTATTCAGGTGGCGCTGAATAAACTTCCAAGGAGTTTGCTGTCTTCTGCTTTAAGAAAGCAATTCTTCAGGAGTGGTCTTTTAGGAGCTGCATCTCTCTTGTTTTATAGTGTTTCTTTGGACTTTGTTATCTTGCATTTCTTATCTAAAATGTCACCAATGTGTCGAGTTAAAAGAAAATATAAAAGTGTAATAAAGCCTAGCCATTTAGGAAGAAAAAGACAAATATTTTTGTTTGGCACAAATGTCTGGAGAAAGACATAAGTTAGATCACCAGAATCCTACACAGGTTAATTCTGGTTCCCCTAAAAAGTGACAATTTGAACCCTTAACAAATACTGTGTTTTAGCTAAAAAAACCCAACCAAACAAAAAACCCCAAACAAACAGAAAATTTGTATAATTTGTTAAAACCTAAGCAGTGTGCTTCTGGCAGGTCTGGGAAGTAGCCTAAAGACATTCAAGAACCTTCTGACTTAAGACTTTATATAATTTTAATATTTTAGCAGTTGTTTTTCATTCATGACTTATTTTTTATAAATATTCTTCATCATGAGCAGAAACTTTGGGAGATGTGTGTAAATAATAGGAAAGTTCTACTGAGTAAAAGGCTTAGACCAGGCAAGTTGGTCTTCCTTGTTTACATTTTTGCCTGTATTTAATACTTTAAAAGCTGTAGAAGGATACAGTAGGATACTGCACTGGATTTGGACTATCACTTTTGTAAACTATGTTTGAAGTCTTCTCTTATTTTTCATCTGAGTTACCATATCCCAGAAGGGTGATGCAGAAATGTGACTTTCCAAATGCATCTGACTTACTTTCTTGTTTTCTTCAGTTGATTTCAGAAGTTAACTTGCCAGTTCATTTTTTCCATTTATACTGAAATGTGATGTTGAGCGTGTTTGTCGTGTGTGTTCTTGTTTTATACAGATGGGCTGAAGCCAGATACCAAGACGCTTCTTACTGTTGCCTCCAAGAAGAAATCTAAGGCAGGGAAGGGGGATACAACCAAAGAGGATGAAAGCAGCAAGAATGATTCAGCTCAACCTGTTACTGTCTCTCTTCTCTTTAAAAGATATGTCTTTGACACACAGAAGAAAATGATTCAATCCTGAGAAAGCAAGAGAGGCCTCTGATTGCACCTGAAAGACCAGACTCTGAAATTAATTCAGGTGGAATGTGTTTCTTGTCTGAACACCTTTAGACCTGTTCATTCCTCACATACAGAGCCTGGAAGCTCCTGTGATCATGTGCCCCTTTCTAAATCTGGTTTTGTTCTGTTAGAATCTGCTTCTTTTGTCATCTTTGCAATGTGAATCTTTACAGCCTTTTGGAGAATGTCACCTGCCAGATGAGCACATTTGCGCGTGCATTCCAATAGCGATGTTTTTCTGGAGAATTGTTTTGAAGTTACTTTTGATTTAAAAGTTTGCCACTAATATTAATCTAAATTTAGTCAAGATGTGAATTTCATGCAACCCACAAAGTGAAGCTGATTAATCTAGGTTTATTTCCCCAAGCAAAGTGGGGGATAGAAAGCACACGATATAATAGGTGAAACCTAAAATGAATGTTTCACATTCCTTCAGCTGCAACTATGTAAGATGCTATCTGAGAGATGGTATGGATCTTTTTTATAAGTGTGATTTATATCTAGAAATGTTTTTCATATTAAACATAATGATGCGTGTAACTGGGAGTCTTAATTGTTCTGTTTGCTTTCCAAAGGTTCAGAACCTATCTTCGGTGACATTTTATATAGCTTTTCTGAATTTCTTGCCTATTCTATGGTGAGTCCTACCCCAGAATTGTTTTATTTTTTTGTAACAAAAAAAAAAGAAGTTGCCTCTGGAAATAGTCAAGAGCTTTATTTCATTAAAATAATGATATAAGATTGCAGCATAAGCCTTGTAAAATGACTATCTCCAAGATGCTTTAGAAACCATTAGTTGTTTAATAGGGATTTCATGGCTGCTTTAGTTCTTCCTCTCAATTTCATGTCTTAGGCTCATAAAAGGGAGAGCACTGGTAATATCCCTTCTTTGTTATTTACAAAGCATAGGACACCTTAACTTGAAAACTAAAAATAATTCCACAGGTATGAAAGCTGCAGCCTGGAACAGGACTTGGGCTTGGTGACCTGGAAAATGTTAGTTCCTGCCTTTTGCACAAAAAGAGTACTTCTGCCTGTTGATGTTAAATAGCAGCTTGTGGCCCAGTCACTGAAGCCAACCATAAAAGATGATCACATGTATAATGTAAGTGCATTAGTTGCACGTGGAATTAAATAACTATAATAGATTGCTACACTCATTAATCATATTATGTTATTAATAACACTTTGAGTGTTATTAATCAAATATCCATTGATGGGTGTGAGTCCATCATGCCAACATGATCACGTGTTTTTTCAGTCTTTTTCTTTTCCTTTTAATTTCCAGGCAACCAGAGTGGATACAAGTGGCAAAAATATCAGCTATTGAGAGGATATTTACAGCTGGACAGTTGTGAGGCAGGCCAGGTCTGGCGTCTAAACTAGGTTGATGGTGCGCCTTTAAATCAGAACAGAATTAGTGCTTTGTGGAATAATCCCAAACAGTTTCTGCTGAGTGAGTCCCAATAAAGCTTTAGCACATCCCTTAAGATTATGGGGTATGCTTTCAGTGTGATCCCAGAGGAATTAGGCAGGCAACTTCAGCTACAGCTTAATGTGACTTGTTCTGCCAGGCTTGCTGGAAAATGTATCCTTCTATAATGAAAAAAATGCATTTCACACCCCTGTCACCTCTCCTTCCCCTTTTCCCTCCTCTTCCCAGACAACCCCAAAAGCAGTCTTTGGAAAGAATATTTACTATATTATCTTTCTTTTAAGCCTTTATCAAATCCTGTTTTGTACCCTGCACTGTTACCTCCGCTTAAGATACTGCAGTGATGGAAGCTAGAGAAGCTAGCTTCCAGATAACATAGAAGGAATGCCATTATTACCATCCCAGGTTAGTCTAAGAATTATTGGTATAAAAAAAACCTCATTAAAAAAAAAAAAAAATCAAAAGTGAATTATTAAGGAACTTCCATTTTTATCTCAATAGTTCCAATGTCATTGCCAAATTTTAAGTGGATCACTAAATTCTGCCAACTCTGCTTGGAGTTTTGGAAAGAAAAAGGCAGTCATCATGAGAGGTGTCCTGCTGTAGGATATTGTTGACTGCTCCAGAGTTTAGCCTTGCATTTACAGGTTTTTGTCTTTCTCATTTCTGAGGCATTTTTTACTAGTTCTGGAGAGGAGGCTGGCAGTGTAAACGTTGGTAAGTATTTTTACAGAGCAGTATCTGATTAATGCTTTCCCCTCTACACTGGATTGCCCATAGCAGGATCAGTGAGTCAGTTGTTGTGGAATTTAATCCAGTTGAAAACTCATTAGTCCTGAATACTTAGTTTTGCAGCCTTCTGCTTGGCTGAAAGGTCTTCTAGTGTTGAGAGTCACGTGGTTTATTTGCTTGGGGTACTGCAAAAAGCAGCAACAGCTTCCAGAGTTGGACCTTCATCCTTTTCTTGTCGCATCTCCTGTAATATACTTTTCAAAACTCAGCATCTTTCTTCCTTCCTCTCAGTCCAAGACCTAACCCCTTCCTCAGTGTTCTTGTTTCCCCCTCTTTGCTCATTGCTTCTCCTTGTTCTGGCTTTGTTCTTGGCTCTGGAGAAGGAGATTTAAATTGGAGTGCTGGCAGGGCTCCTACAACAGATGTTGGGAGCCCAGGGTGGTGGGGAAAGCTCTTAACCTGCAACTTACACCAGCTCCTGTGTGCAGTGAGTAACTGCCTGTGTTCAGGCACTTAAGCTGTGACTTGGGCAGAGGTCTCACAGACAACTACTGCTGACCCAGCAGGTTGTGCAGAGGCACATGTGCTGTGTCTCACAAGTCCCTTCGCTCGCCACCATATCCTGTACTTGTGCTTTGTAATCCTCTAGGTGAAGCCCCATTAGAAAACCCTGTCCTTTCACTTTGCTCCCCTAACAGAGGTTTGTGTAGGACAGACAACTGGAGAGGTATCTCTTGAAGTCTGGGGTTTGGTTTTGTGCTTTTTCCCTATTTTTAATTCCAAAAGGAGAGCTTAAGTGTGCCCGAGAACTTTGATTATAATGTGCTATTACTGCAGATCTCTGGCTGCTGTCCTGAGGCTGTTGGATACACATTCGAAAAAGGGTGAAATGGTGGAACAAAATGATTATGGGAAAATCAAAGCTTTTAAAGACATTTGTAGGATGAACAGATGTTCAAACATTCTTTTATTTGGTTTCCAGACAGACGTAGAGACTTTCCTTTCATCCTTGTAATCAGTGCATTATGCTGTAATTTGTAAAAATGGCATTAAAAAAATATTAACGGGGTCATATTGTGATCTACTGACTCAGTGTCATTAAGCCGTGAAGTTAAGAACGGCAACTGGGAACAGGGGTTAAATGTTGCAGAATGTACTGTACTAGCATATATTGTCAGACTGTAGTATAATGAATCCAAAATGGAATAAAGATGTAAGGCGGTTTTTTAATACTGCTAAGGTTGTCAGTGTTGCAAAACTAGAAATTATTATGGCTGTGCAGATGTTTGGTGAGTAATACCTCTCTGGGTTGTGGAAAGAGGAACAGTGAGAAAAGCTTTGTTTTTCCAAGCCTGTTTTCTGCTTTTCCTTGGAATTTATTTTGGGACTGCAGTCTGGCTTGTGATCCTGCCAGAGGTCTTGAGCTGTGAGGGTCAAAGCATGCAACCGTGGTAGTGAGGATTCAGTAGGTGGCATCCTTTACTTGGAATCAAAACTAAATCTCCCCACCTAAAAATGGGGTATTCACTGGCATCGATAATGAAGATTTTTTAATCAGGCTTGCAACCCACCTCTGGAAGAACAGTTTCTGTTAAAAACTACTGTGCATTTAATGACTGGGGCAGAGCCATTAACTCTGGCCTGTTGACCAAACCCTGAGGCACCAGTGTCCTTTCTGGGTGTGTTTCTGGCTTGGTTGAAAATAGCTCTTTTCCTCGAATCCTATCGATTGTGTTAATTTGTGGCAAGTACCCGAGCATGGAAAAATGAGCCATCCACAGTGGCAGAGTTCCTGGCCTGTATGAGACGTCTCTTTCTGGGCAGTAGGTACTTTACCTGCTTGTTGGAGCTCTGCAGTTGAACAGCCACAGGGTGGCAGAGCAAAAGTGAGAGCCCAGCAGGATGAGGAGTTGTAATGATGTAATCATGTCCTAGAGCAGCCATGTTCCACCCCAGGACTGTCTGTGTCTCGTTGCTGGGAGAGCAGCTCTGTATTTACATCTGTAAAGTGCTCTGTCATCTTGTAAAATGAAGGATGAATGGCAGCAGAGGAATGCTGGTTGTTAGCAGTTTCAAAAACTTTTTGTGTTTTCCTTTTAGTTTAATATCCACAGTGAGCTGAAAAGCTCGTTATTTATGAACACATGAGTTTTAAATGAAATTACCAAGGATATAAATAGAATAATTTTAAGATAAAGCCTAGTACAGGGAGCTAACCCGCTGAGCCTGGGAGAAGGGGAAGAACTGTAAGATTACAGCCTGCAGTTAGGCCAGTCTTGCTAGATGATGGGCACCCAGAAGGAATTCAAGGGTTTGGGGAGGTTGTGTTTAAGGAAGGTACTGGAGAAAAGGAAGTAGTCTTCTGGGATTCTCCACAGATTCTCCTACTGTTCTTTGCAAAGACAGGTTAAAAGCATAATTTGATATGGTTGTAGCTCCACTGTAGACAGTATGTAAGAGGAGAAAGTGCGGTGGGTTTGCTAATTTCTTGTTGCCACTGTCAGAATATGGAGTCCTTCCCACATCTGCTGCTGCACATGCATTGCTTTTTTTTTAGTTCCAGTTGTTAGTGGACTTCACCGTTTAGGATAGAATGGGTTTTCCATTTCTCAGTAAGTATTAAAGTTCTTTATTTTTATTTGTGTGTCTGCTATAAGTGCTTTTCCAGGATGGTATAATGAGTCTGCAAGGCTGAAATCTTTTTCTTCGCCCTCAAGGTGACTGTTGCTTGTCAAAGGTGAATGCTCTAAGGGACCTCTTTGTCTCAGAACCACATGTTTCTGATATGTTTGTTA